GGCCATACGGACAATGTACGAACTTATTTGGGCTCTTATGGGCCTAATTATTAAATAACCCAAACCATCGCCGGACACTTGAGCGTGAGGGTGGAATTGGAATTACGATGATAGGGTTTTATGATGTTTTATAGATTAAATTACACGAATGGTTCGTTTGTTTGCTTAGACAAAAGTTAAAACACCGAACCATTTTAAATCATAATATCAAAGAATCAATTTTATTCATATAATTTCATGGTAGACATAAGTGTGTAATGTTGATGATTTTAGTGTTATTAGAATATTTTGTGTAATTGAAACTTACATGCGAGCTACGAGTCTTCATAGTGTGTATTCGGATATATGTTTGGGTATGTACGGAGTGCACGCATGTATAAGATCGAATTAGAAATCGGTTCGACGACAAGTCGGAGGTCCGGAGGTAGCGCCATTAGGTTTAGGGTTTCCAAAGGGGTCTAGGAGCAGCGCCCTTAGCAGGGTTCAACGGGCAGAACCCCTGACTGAGATACCGCTTATCGTTTTCTATATGAACGACTTCGGATTTTACAAGTGGTTACATAGTGGAAAAATCGAATTCTTAAGAGTGATTATGGTAACACTAACTAAGATCATCGGTTTTGGAAACCATTGATTTCTTCATTAATTCCAAAGCAACCCATGATGGTCAACCCTAAAACGAAACCCTACTTACCGTTTTCTATATAAACGTCTTTCTTTGTGGAGAATAATCACCTTTTAGCTCTCGTTTTTCTTCATACAAACTCAGAATCTTCTAGAAATTTGGTTTACGTTTTTTGTGTCTAGATTCGTAGGTGTCTCATTAGGATTATCCTAGGCTGAGTTTCTTATAACCCGGGCATAGGGTAGATATATCAATTCAGAAAGTGTTTACACGATTCAAGGGGTATTCAGATTTCCACTATAAACCCTACCCAGTTTCTAACATATAAGATAATAATAAAAAAAAAAATCTCATTTTTTCTTTCACTTTTAAAGTTTTTATGATTAATCTTTTATCAAAAAAAAAAAAAAAAAAAAAAAAAAACATAAATTCGTAATTTTTTTATCCACTTTCTATAGAAATCAATATCGATATACAAAAACATGAATATTTTTTTTCAAAAAATTCCATTTTGTTTTGTTAGTTTTTTTTTTCAATATTTAGACTTATCTTTTATTGAAAATAAATAAATAAAAATATATCCAAATTAATAATTTTCGGTACTCTTAAAATAAACATTTATATTGATGTAAAAAAAACAAAACAAAACAAAATTTTAGTTTAGAATCATACTGTGAATGCTAAAAATTGAAGTGTATGTGTGTGTGTCTATATATATATATATATATATATATATATATATATATATATATATATATATATATATATATCATTATCATCATTATATACTTATAAAGGAAACATTTTTCCTTTTACCACATTCATTTGAAACTCTTATAATTTGGTTAATTAGGTTAAATAAACACTAAACCTAAAGTGTAATCATATATAAACTAAATTTCAATATTAAAATAATATATTACTTTTACTTATAAAGTTATGTTTTTTTTTACTTTTAACATATTATACTTAATTTATTAGTTTAATATATTATTGGATGTAAAACATTATTATTTTAAAGATATAATTTTGGAATAATTTGTATAAAATACTTAAATTATTAATTTAAATATAATATTACATGGTCAACGTAAATATAAAATACACAAACACACACACACACACACACACACACACATATATATATATATATATATATATATATATATATATATATATATATATATATATAGGGAAATGATCAAATGAGAACACCTAAAAGGTTGAGAACGCGAGAACAAGTATATTCATTTGTGATTTCATGTATTCATTTGTGGAAAAATGATAAGTTTTTACGCACAATCAACATGAATATGTTTTTTCTCTTCAATTGAAATTTAAAGACGTAAAAATTTATCATTTCTCCACAAATGAATACACGGAATCGCAAATGAATATACTGTGTTCTCGCGTTTTCAACCTTTTTGGTGTTCTCATTTGATCCTACTCCTATATATATATATATATATATATATATATATATATATATATATATATATATATATATATATATATATATATATATATGTGTGTGTGTGTAATTTTCCATATAAAAGTAAGTTAATGCATATAAATGTTTATTTTCTGAATGTATGAACAGAATTCAGTTGAAATAGATATATATGTAGTTAATAAACATTATATTTAAGCAATTGAATTTGAATTTAACTGTATTTTGTTTATATGTTAACAAATGTTGCTAACCATCAATATCTTTAACTTTTAGTGGAGTTGACCATACAAAGATATGTAATTGAAAGTAGACTTGTAATTGCAATAAAATTTGAGAATTATGTCGTCGGGTTATTGATCTTTCAACGCGTGTCTTCCACGCTCTTCTTGGCCATGCTCTTTCTTGACTTTTTTTTGTAACGTTCGATGATGAGTAAACACCAACAACGTGACCAACTAAGAAAAAAGATTCTTTATATTTCGGTCATCGAAATTTCACCAATTTCCATAGTAATACTTGTTGTTTCAAGATTGTCATGTAAGTCCTTATTACACACATATGGTAGTCGTAGACCCGTTTACCCAATTTAAATGTATAACTATCATGTGATAGATATTAAAGCCATTGATCAACAAATATTAGTTGGAACAATGAGAAGGAAAAATGACTAGAAACTCGTCATATAGACCCGTCAACCTAGATGCAAGAAGAGAATTAAGCAGGTAGAGTACCATGTTCAAATAAAGAGTTTAAAACATGTTCAAATAGAGAATTTAAAGTTGGGATCAAAATGAGTTGGTCATCATGTTTAGTCTTTTATTGAATTTTATTAATAATTTATATATTAATTCGAATTTAAAATCATATTAATATAATAAATATATAACTTAATAATAATACCTTTTTAATTAAATAATTTATACTATTATATAAATTTGAAAGCACGATTTAACCCATTTGAGTATTCAATTTATAACAATTCTTTTATTTTATTTGTGTGAGTTATAAGTTACAATCATCAAAATGTTCACATATATTTTCCTTCTTAGAAAGAGTTAGAATTTATAAATGAGATCTTACTTCAAGATTATATATATTACTTGCCTAGGTATGTTGTAATTTTTTCATATTGATTAATAGATATAACAAATGATCGCATTTAGCCCACTTAAAATACAACCCAAAATGACCAATATTTAATCTTCTTGTAACACTTTTACATTTTTGAACACATTCATTTTTGTTTTTTAATAAAGCTAAAAAATATGGTCATCATCATCCTGTGTTGTTAAATATGCACCACGTCAGCTTTACTACATGTCTACCATCAAACTACTAGCCATTGAAAATGGTTACCAATCCTTTGTATTTATCTTTTTATTTTTTTTATTTTTATTTTTGACATTAGAATAAATAAAAATAATAATTATTAAACAAAAATAAAACATAATATTAATTAAAAACACATTACATTATCTAAAAATACACAAATTTAAATCCTAAATTACTTAAAAACATAAAAAATATCAAAACTTAAATAACTAAAAAACATAGAAACATAGAATATACTGCTCGTCGTCATTCTCGTCCTCATCGTCGGCGGCCTCGTTTTCATCAACCGCATCATCATTCTCCTCCTCATCGTCATTTTGTTGTTGGGATTGCCTTTGCCATATGCGCTCAGTCTAATCATGTCGCAGATTGTGATGTGTTTCACTGCTTTGTATTTCCAATAGTCTTGCGAAGTATGTCGGACTACCTACTTGTATTACTGTAAGTGGATTAAGTATGTCATCCGGACTATACATACAAATTGCTCTATCACTTCTTCTATTATCATGCTATGTAAAATAACACAAGCTATCAACACCTTCGTCATTTTTTCCCTATCTCATGCTCGTTCATGATGTTTGATTATATGTCACTCTTGTTTGAGGACCCTAAACGCTTGTTCCACATCCTTTGTTGGCGTTTTGTTGTGCTAACTTGAGTAATTTTCGTTTTTCATCAGCCGAATATGAGTATGACTTGACAAACGTATCATACTCTAGATATATCTCATCTCCAAAGTAATACACATAATTATAATGATGTCCATTGACAAGGTATGTCATGTGTGATGCTTTGCAAGTGTTTGTTTGTTATATATATATATATATATATATATATATATATATATATATATATAAAAGTTAAGTTTAAAATTTGATTTTTTTTTATTTGTTCAACGTCCAACGTTCACAAAAGAAAAAAAAATGTTCAAAAGCCTCTAAGCCAATCAGGTTGTCCATCTTCATCCATAGCTCATACCATGCCACAAGACACCTACTCACTTTTGGAGCAATGTTTACGTGTGACTTTCTGTACCACATAAGACCTCACACGTAGGGTGAGAGCCCATACCGAATGGTCTAAACATACGATATCATTTGCTACCTTAAGTAAAAGTTACTTATTCTAAATAAAATACAACTATTATAGTTTAATATTTTTAATTATGTACCTAAACCAATTAGTTAATTAACTTCATACATATTTAATTGATTATAATCATGGTTACTAGCATTAATATGAGAAAGGCAAATTGTATAGACATTTTCTATTTTTTAATTTACAATTTATATTTCTTAAATCAACATTTAATAAATGAAAAAAAATAGTCCTTATAATGGAGATTTTAAATCATGAATTACAAAATGAAAAACAACTTATAGTATAACTCTTTCTATGCAATTTACCAATTTACAATTGACTAAAAGTTAAAGGTCTTAAATACAAATAACCCCTATAATCAATCAAACTCTAGTTATAAATCTTACCTGGCTCAAGTTAACTAACCATATACCCCCTCCCCCTCCTCACGAACTACTTAAATTCTCTGCTTTTTCTTCATGTTTTTTAGTATAACTCTTAAACAACATACTCCCCCTCTCCCTCTCTCTCTAAAAGAATTAGTATAGAAAAAAAAAATTATAAATGAAGAGAAATGTGAAGAGAAATATGTCACCATCTTCTTCATGCAACAATGAACAACCATTGATGAATCCAAAATCCAAGAACAAGAAAAGGCAACCTGCTTCAGCAGAACCTCTGCCCAGAACCTCCATTTTCAGAGGTGTTACAAGGTATCAAAAATCTTCAAAAAATTTCAATGTAACTCTTCGTTTTTCTATAAATTTGTATGAAATTCGATTTGCATGCATGGAAAATGAACAGGCATAGGCTTACAAGACGATATGAAGCTCATTTGTGGGATAAAGAATCCTGGAATCAGAATCGCAAAAAGAAGGGGAAACAGAGTTTGTTAATTTCTAATTAATTAAGTTTGAATTTATTAAATTATTATTAATCAAGAGACAGAGATCTGCATTCTGCAATCTTTATCTCTTAATATATAATCTAAATTCAGTTACGAATTTTCTGACTTTGTCTTCTTTTTACTCTGTTTGGGTGGCATCCCCTGTTCCTCCATTGCTGCTTATGTAGTATATTTGGGTAAACTTTTACTCTCTCTGATTCTCTCCTCAATTTTTTTTTTTTTTTTTTTTTTTTTTTTTAAATTGAAATAGTTTTTCTTAATGTAATTCTTTTGTCATTTTTATAATAAAAAACATTATATTTATGTTTAAAAAGTAAAAATATGAGAATGTTACTAGGAAATAATAATAATAATAATAATTTTATGATGTTGATCGATGATCGATCCAACGAATAACCAATTGCAACTTTTCTTAATAACATTTTTTTTTTTATGAATTGGACCACTGAAATTCTTGTTCTGACCAATCTTTGTTTGTTGGTCTTGGTTTCCAGTCATGATAATATTATATTGCGTTGTAATAATGAGCATTTATATATATACAAAACATACATGCAATATTTGATATCTAAGAAAAATGTAAAATTTTGTTATTTAAAATAATAATTTTTTGTTAGTTGGCAATTATATGTAAAACAATTTGTTATAGATGTTATTTAACTTTTATTGAAATTGATTAATGATGGAACTTTTTACTATTGATGTGATCAATTAAATATTGAATTTATACTATAGCACTTTTAGTTGTAATCTTTTGTAAATGAGTTTTCGTATTTGAAAAACTATTCAATAGCATTGTAAACTAATACAGTATTTTTTTTAAACATCAGCTTCAATCATTTATTTATAAAATAATTAAATTCTAACCACTTATTCTGATTATTTGTTTTTTATTTATATTTTACCATCTACTTTTAGTAACATACCATTTGATGCTATAATCATATTTACTTATCAACATTTATTTTTTAATTACTCAATTTATTTTATTAAATATGCAAAACAATAATCAATATATATATATATATATATATATATATATATATATATATATATATATATATATATATATATATATATATATATATATATTAAAAAACCTTAAATAATACAAACAACTACTAGATTTCGTCCCAAAGTTATAATTTTTATTGTTAAAAATCCATTACGAATCTGTTGAAAATTCGTTCCAAAGTCGTATTGGACTATTTAGTGTAAATCCGTTAGTAAGACCTTTTGTTTATAGATTTTATTACAATAACTACTATCGAAAAGTTTTTCTAATAGTGTAATTCTTAAAACTTTTGTGTAATTCATTATTTTTCTTTCTTGACCCCACCATTGATAACACTATTCATAGAAAAAATATAATAAAGACTATACTCTTTTTGGGTATAATCCAAAAGGTTTATTTTTAAAATCGAGTTATATAATTTTATACTGAACTTCATTTTGGAGGCTAGTATAAAATAAGTTGTCATGCGCGGCGTCCGTGTGTCACTCAAAAATATTTTCCAATTTAATAAATTAATGGCAAAGTCTAATATCGTTTTTTTTTTTTTTTTTTTACAAATAATTTCATGATGATATGGTTGATTTAGGGGCATATGATGAAGAAGAGGCTGCTGCTCACACTTATGATCTTGCTGCTCTTAAGTATTGGGGTCCGGAAACAACTCTGAATTTTCAGGTAACGATTTTATATTGTCTCTAATATTATAATTTATACTTCTTATGGGTATTTATCAATTGAGAGAGTTGCATATTAATTTGTATTTGTTCATTTTAACATAGAAAATGTTTGCATCTTTTTGTGGATTTATAAACTTTTTGTTTTTCTAAAGTTTATTTTACTAAATCCAATGCATTTTTTGCAAAAAGTTTGTCAAAAAAAGGGGGCTAGTGAACATATCAAATGTGTACATGCAAAAATGTGCTTTTTGTAACTCGAAATGGTAATCACAAAGATGAAAGATCTTCCATACGAATAGTTATATGGAAACTTATACAGTATGAATTAAAAGTTGTACACTATCATTATCTCAACTGATTCAATCTTGCAAATAATATGATAGCCGGAAATGTACAAAATCGAGATGGAAGAAATGCAAAAAATGTCTAAAGAAGAATACTTAGCCGTGTTAAGAAGGAACAGTAGTGGATTTTCTCGAGGCGTTTCAAAATTCCGAGGTGTAGCAAGGTAAATTGATTCTACTGGCTTTATATTGTTTCACTAATTTGCAATATTTTAAATGAGATTTGATATTTTCATTTTTTTTCGCTTAAATAATAAACGATTTGAATTTTATACTTTCAATTAAATTGAAGAAAGAAAATCATGTTGAAAAATATAAAAGTGATATCACCTGGTTGAATAAAAAATCCAAATAAAAATATCAAATCATTTTCGTTTTAGATATTTTAAATATTTATTATTAGTGTGAGAAAAAAACAAAACTTTTCTCTAATAATTCAGTTATGAATCGTGCGCAATATATAAATTTTAGTGCACGATATACAAGTGATTAAAGAAACCTTTTCTTGGATTAGTTAATGATTGGTTTGGAGAAAGTTTCGTGTAACTAAAAACATGGTCTAAAATGAAAACACATTAAAGGGGTCAAAATTGGACAAAGGTGTATTTGAATATAATAAACAAAATTTGGTAGTTATTATAATACATCGTTTTAATCATTTTTAATATATTTATATATTAGTTATTATGGAATCTAATAATCTAATAAGGTCAGACGGTGTTTGCGAGAGAAATGATGATAGAAGCTTTCCCTTTTCAACTGAACACCACATCTTGACTGAGAGAAAGTGGTGAGGGAACCGATTCCTTCAATCTCTCCCCTATTCCTATTGACCAACTTTTTTAAAAAAAATATATTTTTAATACTATTAAATTATATAACTACTAAAAATTATAAAAAATATATATATCAAAACTCATAATTTTTAATTTCCTACAAAATGAGTATAATATTTATAGGAAATATATTTAAAAATAAAAATAAAAAAATACTGAGAGAAGTTTCCCACCAATTCCTTGGATTTAGGTGAAGAAAATGAAAGTGAGAAAAAATATGTTGTGACCCACAAAAAGTAAGGGAAGTTTCCCATCCATATCCTCTGATCTTAACAAAGACCAAGATTTTTTTAAAACTTTTTAAAATGTTAATTGCTAACAGACATGCTATTCAACTATACCTTACAAACATTAACACAGGATACAAGTATGACATGCGTTCTCGTGTATAATTTTGGGTAAGTCATGTTTTGCATTTATTCTTGTCGACACAAATTTAAATTTGTATTTCGTGTCAGACAAGAATTTGAATGTATAAATACATATAAGGCACAAATAAAATAACATACAGTATAAAACACATATAAACATGATTAAGGTGGAAATTTTAAATTTCTTCCATTACCCCCTTTGACCTTTGACCCATTGATAAAGGGTCATTGATAAAACATGTTAGGAACGTAGATAGGAGGAGTTTGTACCTTGGATTAAATTTTTTTCAATTGTTTTCCGAACTTACCAAAATCGTATTCGTGTAAATTCATAAGTTCGTATAACACTACTAAAAAGTGTCGTATTCCTATTGTGTCATGTATTAAACATATTGTTTATGTGTTGTGTCCATGTTTCATAATTAGACACATTTTACAATTTATATCATGTTTCACAAATTGGTATCCTTTAAAATTCATGTATGGCCTGTGACATGGCACACATACAAATTGTCAAATCTATACACAACCAATCTTCTTTGTCATTTTATCACCTTCAATGCATCCTCTATAATTTCTTTTATTGTAATACGCTATAAAAAATGATCATATAAGTCATAATAAGATTAAATTTATTGACTTGTCTTTATTTATTTTATTTTAATGTCTTCAAATATAATAATAACTATTTTTATTATTTTGGGCCACTTATCTTTTAATCGTTTTCAACATACCAATATTTTTTTTTTTAGTTATCATTACACTATTGAAATAGAATTCAACCGAGAAATTATGTCATGTTAAATGTCATAATGGACGTAGTGTCATTAACGAATAAAAATAAATGAACAAATTATATCATATTAGATTCCACAATGAACATCACGTGTGCTATATATGATTCAGTGGTAGTTTATTCGTTTGAAATCCACCATTCTAATAGTGTAATGGAGATCCAAAAAAATTGTGTGTCGGACTATAGAGTATAATTTAAAGATAATCAACATAAAAGCACACTAACTATTATTAGTTATCATTTTATGAAAAAAAAAAAAAAAAAAAAAACTCATCAAATGAAAAATTCCAGAAGAAACTATTATAATTGGTGCAATCTAATGATGTATGTTATTTTTGTTAGCATAAATTACAAATTTGGCTCTTCTATATTACACAAAATTACAAGTTCGGTCGAGATTTTAACATTATTCCAGTGTCGTCCTTAGGTTTGTATTTCGTTACACATATGGTCCCCATGTATTACTCAAAATTTGCATGTTTTAGGAAGGGATACTATGCAACCAAATGCAAACATAAAGACAACGCTGAGACGATATAAAAATTTGGAATAAATTTGTGAGTTTTTTAAACCATAAAGACCAAATACGTAATTTACTCTATTGTTTTATTTCCAAATCATAAAATTTTTGGACAAATTTGTTTTTTTCAAATTAACCGAATATACCATATAGAAATGGTTAATTTGAAATTTTATACGTTTCCTTCAACAAAAAAAATTACCTATAAAATATGATATAAGAAGTAAAAATGGTTAATTAAAAAATAATCAAAATATTAAAGATTTGATTGAGTTAGATTAAAATATTAATGATTAACAAGAAAACTGTTATAAATATAATCAGTTTTTTATTAGTTTTCTCCATCCAAAAAGTATAATTAAATAAAATAATCTGTTGGGGGGAATAATAAATAATAAGAGTATGCATCTTGTGAATATAAATATATCGTTCCATTGCATTAGTTTATATATACATATACCTTGGTTGATTTGGGATTAACAATCCCTTACTAATTATTTACAATTTTTGGAGTAAATATTATAATAAAATGACATACATTTGCTTTTAATTTTTAAATATCAAATAAACCCACGTTTCTATGATCATTTTTTTTTAAATAAACGTACTTATCATATTTTTACTTTAGCGCATGATTTTTCTGTCAATAAATATTAAAAATTAATTAGTTTTTAAAAGCTTTTAGCGTGCATCCTTGATCCTCCATTCAAGAAATTTCTCCCAAAACCCCTCGTCCAATCTAACCCGCTATATTTTTAACATTTGTGTCAAATATGAGTTATTATGTTTTTTGGTTGGTTTAGCAATAGGGAAGTGATTCGTACACAATCGTTTTTTTGCTATACACAACAATTTATGCATTATAGAATTGTATAATATAATGTTTTAAAACACCTGTTGTTGTGTATGGAGAAAAATTATTGTTTACAAATCATCTCCCTTAGCAATATTTATCATGATTATAAGTAACATTAGGTGTGATTTTACGGTAATGTCAAAGCATCAAACTTTTATGAGCTGTGTCGAATCATGTCGTTTATATGCGTGAGTTAAGCCGACAGTTATATATATATATATATATATATATATATATATATATATATATATATATATATATATATATATATAAAACTTAAGACGATATTTTATTAATGTTTGACATTAAATACAAGCTTTTGAAATATGACAAAAAAATAACGAATTTTTTAGAACTTTGATATTTACATAACAACTAATAATTAAGGGATATTTGAAAAATAAACACAACATATTTTTTAGGTCAAAATCATATCATACAAAGAATTAACCTTCTAAATCTCTTGGTAAAATAGAATTGATACTAAAAGATAGTATTTAATTTTTTATGCCTCGCGCAGACATCATCACAATGGAAGGTGGGAGGCACGGATTGGACGAGTCAATGGTAACAAATACATATATCTTGGAACTTTCGGTATGTATATACATTATCACCCTTATTTAGGAAAACAGAAAATTTTTAATATCATGAAAGTCCTTACAAAATTGTAATTTTTTTAGTAAATCATATACTCTATTTATTTGTTTATTTATTTTTGAAATAACTCACATTTTTTATTATTTTAGTTGACATTTTTAGCAGTTTTTTCCGAAAAAACTTGTTAAATGTGAGAGTTCTTTCGATAAAAAAAGTTGAGACTTTTTTTTCCGAAAAAAGTTAAAGAGTTTACGATTTTCTAGATAAAAGTTAAAAGTTAGAGGATTTTTCATAGAAAATGAAAAATAAAAGTGTATTTTTAGAAAAAATAAATTGAAGTTTAACCTAAAAAACTTATATATATATATATATATATATATATATATATGACTGAATTATTGCGATAACTAAAAAAAATGTATGAATTTACAAACTCATAATCAATTCATCATTTTTCAACACCAATCTTTTACAAATTGTGCATCTAAGCCATAAAAAAGATTTAACAATTGTTTATATATATATATATATATATATATATATATATATATATATATATATATATATATACACACACCTAGTCAATAGTTGTATGGACTGTTAATTGTGCTCATGAGCAATTCATACAACAACTGATTGTGTTCATCAGCAGTCATACAAAAAAATAAAAACAAAATCGTGATATATATATATATATATATATTTGAGCGTAGATATAATTTAGACGCACTATTTGAAGAAAATTGTTGTTTTTGGTGTTGAAAATTGATGAATTGATTATGAGTTTGCAAGTTATCACAAATCTTTTGGTTTTAAAAAAACATGACTCTTTCTCTTTCTCTCTCTCTCTCTCTCTCTCTCTCTCTATATATATATATATATATATATATATATATATATATATATATATATATATATATATATATATATATATATATATATATATATATATATAACATGTTTTTAGAGCATCTTTAATTAGCACTTTTCTCTTTGTAACTTATTTCTATTATTTATTGACCTTAAAAGCTTTAGGACACATAGTTTATTTGTTTTTTATTAATCACTCAATTATACATAATGACTGATAAATATATTTTGATGTTTAATACAACTAACCCATTATTCTTTAATTATAATTTATTTTATTCTCTTAATTATATTTTAGTTTTAATCATTTGTTATTTATTTACTAAATATTTTTTCCGATTATATATTTAGTGATCGTTCATCTATGAAATATATATTTTATAATAATTATATAACATTTTAAATCATTTTATAGCATAATAGTTTTATATATATATATATATATATATATATATATATATATATATATATATATATATATATATATATATATAATTGAATTTATATAATTTATTTGTTTGTGTCATCTTAGATGTAATATACGTTTAAAAACGACTAAATAGAAGATTTTATAGAACATTTAAATAGGAATGATGAATAATTAGTAAAGTTTAAAGAAAAAATCTAGTGGAAGAAGTTGAAGATGTTATTTATTTGAAGATATTTTTACATATTGTTAGATTAAAAAGGGGGTATCCGAAACTTAATCCTATAAATAAGGGGGCGAAAGCATGAAGTTTTATATTAAAAAGGGTCCTAAAAGAAAATTGGAACCTGTCTAGTGTATAGTTTATGCTCATGTGTCACGTAATGAAATGGCATACAACGACATGGAATATTTAAGTGAAAATTACACCGTCCCTCGTGCATATGCCAGAAAGCGTGTTTAGTCCTTATTTTTAAAAATTAACTCGGACCGTCCATTGTTTTGTTTTTTCTTGCTTGCTTAGTCCCTCTGCACATAAAAAGACCATTTTACCCTTATTTATTTATTTTTTGATTTATTTTCTATTTACTTGTTATTTATTAATTATATATTGATTTTTTAATTATACAAAATAAATATTATTTCATTTAAAAAAGAAATGGGCTGGTACATTTAATCACTCGTCTAACCCTCCCTTTCTTCTTCTTCTTCTTCTTCAGTACATCTCATATCTACCGTCCCCACCCACAACGAGCGACTTCAATGCTCCGGCAACTCCTTCGGAAAGTCCTAAACATCTCCAATTTCATACAGAGGAGATCGACTGCAAGACACCGACCAAGTTCAGTCTCTATTTTACTCTTTTATCATGTTTCCCCTATTCTGATCTCATACTTGCATCTCTCAATTTTCATATTTGGAAATGGAACCATTTGAGTTTCCCCTTCTCAAGATTTTCCACAGATTACCCAACACCACCTATCACCGCTAGCACCTCTGACACCACCACCTATCACTGCCATGTCCTCCTCCAACCAAATCATAATCTGAAAACCTTGCACCTGGCTTCTTCCTTGATCTGAAACCTTAGGCGGAAATTGATATGAACATATGTGAAGAAGGAGATCAGTCTAAAAGTATGTCAACAACTTCTTCCTTGATGTAAACCTTGCACCCGTCTTCTTCATCAATCATCCCAGTATGCTTTCCATTCAACCTGACTTATGGTTTGTATGATTTCCTTACATGGTGCATCCAGAAATCCAAATGTAAAAGAGATCCAAAAAATCAATCTAGGTTAAAATATGATAATCATCGATTGTAAAATCTCCCAAACATGGATTGTTTTCTAATAAACAATCATAATTATAAAAACATAAAGAGAGAGAGAGAGAGAGCGAGAGACATTCCAATTCGACCATATCTGAAAGGCACTTGGTACCAATTTGAATGGATCTAAAATGGGCTTCAACCCATCTGCAACCCTGTATAACCATGGCGTTAGAGATAGTGTCTGCTTCCGCCTCCAATTATAACGCCTTCGCCTTTGATTCAAATAGAGAATTAAGAAAGAGTGTGACAGTTCTACATTGAGAACGGAGAAGAGGGAAAGATATCGACTATTCTTCATATCTTTCTGGTGATGGCTTCCCTCATCACAAAAACAGATCGAGAAGAGGTAACCTTGCTCCGATGGTGTTGATTTAAAAACAGATCGAGAGGAGGTAACCTTGCTCCTATGGTGTCTGATTTAGGTTTTGGATTCATGGTAGCTTTTGAGGTGTATATCGACTTCATGGGTATCTTGAACTTTTCCAGAAGCATATGATTTTGTCGGCGGGTTCTACAATACTAAAAGAAAAGAGAAATGGGAGATGTAGAGGGTGGGTGAGAGTGGGCCTGATTTCCTTTTCTAAAAGATAAATAATGATAAATAATATTAGATTAATTGAAAAAAAATACACAAGGGCATTATGGTCATTTTAAATCTGGTATGGACTAAACCTACAACAAAATCGTCTTTTAGGGATGAAACATGCAACTTTAAACCAAACGAGGGACCGTCCGAGTTAATTTTTAAAAATAGGATTGGCAGAAGAAAGTAGACTTAATTATTTATTTATACTTTTCAGTCAACTAGATCTCATATTAAAATAACGACTATTAAAATAAAAAAGAAAATGGATTAGAAATGTATTCTACTATTCTTTATTATTTTGTGTGTGATATTCTAACTTGGCAAATTGCTATTTCTTATTTAACCCAAAAAAAACAAATTGAAATTAGTTTGTTTGACCCAAGGGTCAAAGTATGTAGTCCGATTTAATCTTATGGCTCATGTCATTTCCAAATAGATCATGCAATCTTGACCACTATTCATGTTTGATGTTTACAGGCACCCAAGAGGATGCAGCCAGAGCATATGACAAAGCAGCCATAATGTATCGAGGAGAAAATGCTGTAACCAACTTTGATATTAGCAATTATACTAACGACTTCGATGATTCCCCACAAACTGAACAAGATCCATCAAATGCTGAACTGAGTGAGAACAATCATGATGATGGCATAAGATCTGAACAACAAGAACAACAACAAAACGAAGAAGAAGTTGCTCATGAAGTTAAAGAGGAGATGTTTCCTGAAACACATTTTGCATCTTCAGTTGATGAAGACCACCCTTGGAGACATTTTATGGATCCAGAACATATATCTCATCTTCCATTTGATGAGTCTAGTGAACGAATGGACTTGCTTTATGATTATGGCTTTGAGGCTAACCTTGACTCCATTTTCAATGACCCCATTGTGAATGGGAGTGGTTGCATGACTTTGCCAGAATCTTCTTTCATGTACTCCACATCCTCAATGATGAACCCCATTTCTGGCCCTTTGGTTTAGACCTCTGATCGATTAAGGATGAGTTTTGGAGTAAGATATTGGTATTAGAAAAGTTTTTATGTACTATTTCTTTGTTTCCGACTATAGTGGGCCTGCTTATGTTTTTAGTTCGTCATATACTTAGAGGAGCACAAAGATGGTGTCCATCTTGTAGTCTTTTTTCTTTCTTTGTCAAAAAAAACATGCTTTTTCTAGCTTATGACATCAATGACAAAAAAATTGTACATAGAAAATTGATAAGAACTTTCTTCCCTATGTTTTTTTTTATTTGCATGGTTCTCATATGCTTGCTTGTAAGGCCATGAGGTATGGTTAACTAGTGAACAAAGAGAGAGAAAGAGAAAAGCAAGAGAGAGATAGAGAGAAGTATGGGCAAATGAAATTCTATTGGTCGTAAGGAAGCTTAATCGGCATCAATCCACACCATATTTACTAGTGACAGGGGTGGTGTTCACACGCCAAAATGCGTGCCACCTCAGCCTTGACGCGTAAAAATGAGTCCCATACCCCTTGGCCTAAGATGGCTACAAGAAACTGCCGCTTTAGTCACCACATGTTGTAGCTGTTGTAAAAGTCCTTTGTGTGAACTAGTGTCATTTGTGAAAGTTTTTTAACAAAATTTGAAAATTTTCACTGTTAGGCAACAGACATATATATGTCACTAGAAGTTTTACCTATCCTAAACTTTGTTGATTGAATTTTATCTTTATGTCTCTAAAATATTATTTTAAAATACTTTTTATATTCATCTTTAGTTAAAAAATGTAGTGTAAGTTAAATTTTCTATCATCAAACTTACTAGAAAATTGGAGGTGTAGGTTATTGGAGGAGTACCTACAAGCTATTGCGTTGGTAATTTGTTGGAAATAGGGTTTATCAACATAGTTCCAACGAAATTGATTTGTTAGAACCAAGGCTCGTCCATATTTTTTTTTATATCCTGGGTAAAAAGATTAATAATGCCCACTTTTTCTATCATACAATGCATGTAGTATCTGTCACAACTAGAAATTTTGTGTCATATAAGCTATATACTCAAGTAAAGGTTGAATCAAAAATTTTAAAGCATGTTTGATGCCTATTATGTAACATCAAAATTTCAATCAAATACATCATACAAGTACTACACATAGTCGTCAAACAATTGGAAACCCTAGAAGTTCTTGTTAAATCCATTTTTGGACTAGAACTTCCTTATTGGACCTAAGTGGACCAATAAGCTTCCAATTTGACTATTATGGGCTTAGAACCCTTAAATGGGCTCTAATTGGACCCACATCTATTTATTTCAACATTTTGGGCCATATTGGGCCTAGAATGAAATGAATTAAAAGCTTTGATCCATGATTAACCTAATCTAGCTTAATAAAGCATAAAAATCACAATTTTATCTTATAAGGCCAATGATCACTCAAACTAACTCTAATATTGGGCTTAGGAGCAAAAATCCCAAAAACCTTTCTTCCTTTCCAAATTCTCGGCCCAAGGCCCAAACCCAAGGAAGGTGGAAGAGTTGACTTGCCATTGCCACCTCATTTTTATCTTTTGGACATCCATGCAACATATCACATATACCCATGCATACATCACCTCAAAGTCACTCTTCTCCTTCTCTCCCACTCACTCTCGGCCGAGCAACACCCACACACACACAAATCTCTCACAAACTCTCTCTAGATCACTCAAGGTTTCTTTCTTCTTCTCCATCCAAAATCTCGAGATTTAGGAAGCATTCAAGGAAGTTCTTCCACAAAAATCATCATCTAAGGTAAGGTTTTGCTTGGATCTATGACTTGTATTCCTTGTTTAATCAAAAATCTCTTCCTAATCCATGCAAAAATCGTGATCTTGCACTCTAGAAAACCCCATAAACTCGAAAACTTCATCCAGGAGTGCAAAGGCCAAAAATCACTTCATTTCTTCCATTCTTTCTTCAAAAACCGAATCAACACCCAAGGTGAGTTTCATACCCCCTTATTTTCGGTTTTTATAAGTTTTTGTGGGGGAGAATACAAGCAAAGGTGTAGATCCATCATTATGTGTATGTTGTGGTTGATTTTTATGCTTATATGTAGGTTTTGTATGATTTTGATGTTAGATCTAGTTATGAAATGCTAAAAACCGAGATATGTATTTCATTATAGCATAAAATATACTACTACATGCAAAGTATACTAAGAAAAATAGCCAAATGGCTTGACAACACATAATTTGGGCTAAAAACTCATTTTTTTGACATAAAATGTTGAAAATACAAAGTTGAAGGGCCTAAAATGAAATATTTCGAAATCTGATGGGTGAGATGAGTCAAAACAGTTTACATAATGTATTTTCTGAAAATATACTATTTGGAGGGTTAAAAACATAAATTCCAAGCTTATTGGGCTAAATATGACATTTTTGGCCCAATGAGGCCCAATATGCGAAATTTTCTAATTTGGAGGACCAAAACTGCATTTTTCTGTAAAACAGTGGACTATAAGTGTTCCATGTACTTTTCAAAGGTTTAAAATGCTTTTCAAATTTAAAAAGGACCAAAGTTGCAAAAATTTTCCAAATTGGGCCAAAAATGTAAAAATTGCGAAAAAGAGGGGTTATAACCGAGAAAACTGCAATTTCAAGGACTTAAGCTGTTTTCTATGAAAAATATGCTGGAAAATACTTATTTCAATAATTTTTGGTGTTAAAATGTCAAGAAAATTGATTTAAGGACCAAACCGGAAAGTTTTTAAATAAAGGGGTGAAAAGGGTAAATTTTACAAATAAGGAGGGACTGAAAACAGAAAACTCTCAAGGCTAGTTCAATACATGCAATTTGACCAAACGATGGTACCACGCATATCGACGAAATACAATACATTACAATACCAAAATTCGTTGTCAAACGAATTGGTTCGGTCTCGAACCAATAAAAATCCGAAACTACTAACACGACGACACTACGACATTACGACATTACGATTCATAACTAATAACGATTGGGAAGTCACTATACATGCGAGTGTGCACAGACGTCTACGCACCATCTTTGGGCCCCAAAAGTGTAAAATCTTGTTTGTTGAGCCTAGCTAGCCCAATGACCTGATCTTAAGGCCCGAAGACCTCTCTCTTACGAAGTGTTGGGTTTTACCGATCCGACATAACGTAAAAGGACTTTCAATGGCAAATATGCTGCTGGTCCCCAAGGGTCCTTCAGTGCTGCTAGTAAAGTCTGTAACTCACAATTGCGGGTTGGGCTTCGGGCCCTTCGCAATTGCAATGGTCTTGAACAACGTGGGGAAATACCGAGGGTTTCGCACCTTCTCTTCTTCCCTCCGGTCGTGGGACTACACAAGTCCGGGAGGATTGAGTTGTGTGAAGAATTACGAGTGACGCCTAAGGGATCGCTTGTAAGGTTGTCGATTGGACGTTTTCATTAACGTACGTCACAACACTTCACCACCCACTGTATTCTCAATGCCTCCGGAGCTCAACGGTTTCCTCTAACGCAACGAAACAACGGTACACAAACTAAGTAAAGCAAAGTGATAGGAAAACGTCGGGTTTTCCTAGGGTTTTCAACAATTACAATTATGAATTACCGGTCGAATTTCACAACTCTTACGCTTACATCTATAGAATTCAAACAAGCATACTCATGGATCATCACATATTTTTACACTATTCTATTTTTAGAAAATATCGGATTTTCTAATGGTTTTCAAACAATACATTGGATTTCAAACACTACTTATGAACTCACCAACATTTCATATGTTGACGTTTTCAAAATACTTGTATTCTCAGGTAACAGATAAGGTGAAGGATGATTTGTACTCTATGACGTTTTGCTGTGGTTTAAGTAGTATCAAACAGTTTTTTTTTTTTTTTTGAGAATGTAATGTTTTGAACAATGTAATGAATGTAACATTACCAGTTGTATCATTCCAAATGTTGGTGATGTATAATGTTATGTTTCATGTATATGCATTGTGATGGTATTCAATGAGTCATGATAGCCGTCGGACGTTTCCGCCGTCTGGTTCGGGGGTGTAACAGTATCGAACTATATACAACATAATTTTTTGAAAACAAACTCGAAACTCATTTTTTTCGTTAAAATAATTCATAATACGTACAATAACTTGCAAAATTCATCTAAAACATTATCCCCATACTTTCTTTGAAACAAAAATATTATTTCCGTATTTTTTGGAATGATATCAAATTTTATTACAAAAAGCTAACATAATTACAACAATCAAATATAAGTAAAAAATTAGCAATAAACTTTAAGAGGGAGACACAAAATGGCAACAAACTTTAAGCAAAAGAATCCACCATGAACTTCTTAATACCTATTTCACTTTAGCATTCATCACATGTCCATATAAAATGGCAAAAAATTAGATAATTTGTAAAAGAAAAAAATACATAAATAAAGGACTAAACTAACTGCATAAATAAAAAAAGTCAAGGTTGAATGTTTTTTTACAAAGTAGTTCCTGTCATATATTCATATTCAGTAAAAACAACAACAATCAAAAAAATAAAAGTCAAAGAGAATCCAAGTTTAATTCACTACGGTGAACTTATAACAAATTTTGAGTGTCCAAATGTGTATAAACTAATACTATTTAGTTTATAATATTAGAAAAGTGTCGCATACATTAATTAAAAGGGTGTTCACATTGTTTTTTCTATTAAAGATTAAACTAATTTTCCACATTATCATTTTGATTCGGTTTAGTTGTAACACACAAATTGAAACCAAAACAATTTAACAACTTGCTCAACAATTACAATTTGGAGAAAAAAAATTGGTAATTGTGTTGGATTAGTATCTAAATCCATAACTATTTTGGTATGTACTTGACCCGATGGTGCATGGTCCTTTTGGGTTGCCTTCACCAAAGCAACTTGATTGGAGAAATAAATAAAGAGAGAAATGTTATTATGATTTATTAATATGTTATAAGAATAATATATTAAAGGAGAAATCATATTTGTTTAATTAATAT